AAAAAAAAAGAAAACACCTTCTAAGTGACTACAGCAAGTGAGCTTACCCTGGAACATAAAAACATGTCATCAGTGTCCCTGAAAACTATAACAATCCAGAGCATAATTTTACCAGCCATCACCTAAAAGAAATGGAAATACGGTATCAGCTTTAAATGGGCTGACCTTTCAGTACTCAAAATGTCTTAAATAAGCACTAAACACAAGAGTTAAATCTTGGAAATGCATTCAAGCACCCTATTAGCAAATATGTAGCTTATTTATGTATCACTCAGCTGTAGATCCTCAAATCATCTCTAGCACAAAACAGAAAGCTGGGGTTTTTTGGGCAGCCGACTGACAACTTTCAGACCAAACGTTGTTTAGAAAAATATTATTTTATTTAATATAATTAAAAAAGTGAAGATAATTCCATAAAATCGACAACATGATTCCCCTATAAGCTCACTCCACAATAATTAAGTTCTTCATACATGAAATTACACTCAAAAAATTATAAAATGAGACATGATTGGTTGACATGGTGAACAGAAAATTCATGGACAATATACATGATTGATATGACAAAATAGTGTTGGAGGAGCTTGGTTTTCTCAACGTGACGTTTCGCACTAAATAGCGCTTCTTCAGGAGAAGGAGAGGGAGGTTGTCCTTGGAGTCTGTGTGCATCCCAATGGTTCAACCCGGCTCAGACAGTAAGATGGTGAGTATAGGAGCATAGAGAGGGGGGCAAGGGAGAGGGAGGGAGGATGGAGGCCCTGAACCCCAGCAGAGGCAGACCGAATCAAGAGATGACGGAGATAACCAGTGCTAGTAGATGGTTAGAAGTAGATTCAATAATATTGTGTTTCCCGGTCAACGCCGTGGGATGTCCGTTCCTCTCTCAATGTCGAGCCCCCAGCAGCTATCACAGCCCTCTCAGGCTGCACACTGGTGCACAATTGGTGCTTACACTGTCCTTCCTTCTGGAGGGTGGCTACTTTTGTTCCTCATGGTCCCTGTGTGTGTTGTAAAGTAGTCACCACTGCAAGCTCACTCCTGTGATAGACTACAATCTCATGTTTAGTTTACTAATTTGTATTGAGATTGTAGTCTATCACATGAGTAAGCTTGGAGTGGTGGCTACTTCACAACACACACAGGGACCATGGGGAACTGGAGTAGCCACCCTCCAGAAGTAAGGACAGTGTCCACACCAATTCAGAGATGATTTAAGGATCTACAGCTGAGTGATACACAAATAAGCTATATATTTGCTAACAGGGTGCTTGAATGCATTTTTAAGATTTGATTCCTGAATTTAGTGTCACTTTAATGTATGCAAGTATATAGAATGCAGCTTCCAGCCCGGTTGGTCCTAAGCAAAGAATGTGTGCTGACACCCATGCTCACTGAGGGCAGTGCTGAAGGTTCGATGGTTTGTAGGGTACTTTAAAGCAAGTTATAAATGTGGTGGGCCACTTACAGAATGCCTGCATCCATTTGCTACTTTGTTAAAATGATCAGCTAAGACCCCATTCACACGTAGCGACATACCTTTTGCAGCGGATCCGCACGGCCGGGATAGCGCGACTTTCGGGCCGACGTTCCAGCGACGATCCAGCGACGGTAGCGCGACCTTCTCCGTCGGGCTCCATAGAAAAAGGGCAAAATCGCGCAAAATCCGCCGGAAAAAGGGCCCGGTAGAAGCGACTTGCGACCGCGACGAGCGACGCGCGACATGGAGTTAAGACAGCTCCATTGAATAGCATTGGCCGGCGACTTCTCGCGATATCGCGCGGCAAAAATGCGCGATATCGCGGCGGAAATCGCACGATAGTTCGCTACATGTGAACGGGGCCTTAAGGTGGATATAACTCACTTTCCTTACACCTCTAACAAACCTGACTAGAGCTGCAGCTAATGATTATTTTCAAAATCGATTAGTTAGCCGATTATTAAGTTCGATTAATCGGTTAATCGGATAAAAAATACATTTTAAAAAATGGCTCCAGTAACATCATGCTGCTGCTTTCCTGCAGTGTACCATACATTTTATATGTACTCTGCTTTTGTGCTGTTTTTTACTTTTGTTTCTGCTTTTGTTTTGCTCTTGTTTTTGTGCCTTTATTTTTGCCTTCTCGCTTCTTTTGCTTGATTTTCTTTCTTTAAAATGTTGTTATTCAGACTGCTTTGCTCCAACTGTGTCAAATATGCCCCCTTATCGCCACTTATTTCTTTGAACGCCTTCATCCTTTCATTTTCTTTCAACACACCTTTAGACTGAATAGAGGTGCTTGGGAAATGTCACTGCAAACCAATGGGCTCACCCAAATGTTAGCCAGGAGTTCTGTTAATGTTTCTAATGGCACCAGCTCCAGCTGTGCCAAAGGAGTGATGCAGAAAAGGGAAACTACACATCTAACAGCATAGTGTAGGATGATGCATAAACACCTCCCAGGGCATACCTGAGGCGGTGACAGCCATAAAGAACACTAGTTATTGGTATAACTATATTTACAGCTTTTAGGGCCTATGTACAAAGCTTTTTTGTGTGTTGTATGTCAAGTGCATTTTGAATGGACCTAAAAGCACACTGCATTTGCCCATCTATACAGACATTTAGAGTACTTAAATAATCCCAGAGCTGGGCCATTAGCCCTTTAGTACAAACCCTTTTACAAGCCAGAACCATTGTTCTTCTTGGCAAATATCCTGTCTGCCAACCCGTAGCAATCAGGGCCGGTGCAAGGATTTTTGCCCACACAGGCGAAGGTGACTTTTTCTGGCCCCCTCCGCCACAATGCCACCCCAACATCCCCATACACTTTATTTGTGCTCTATTAAGCTATAGTGGCTCGGCTCTCGCTGTGACGTATGCGGCGATACCTAACATCTATAGCGCAATCAACATTTTCGGATGTAGGCTCACAAGCTGTCTACTTTGCCTAGCAACACCTGCCCTGGTGACACAACACAAAATTCTATGTAGCATTATACAGAAGAAGTACAGAGTACTGTAACAGTACAGCGAACCGCAAAATATGTTGAGCAGGACCATAAACTAACACTAACCGCACTCCCTTTTCACTAACTGCACTCCCTATTCACTAACACTAACTGCACTCCCTATTCACTAACACTAACTATTCACTAACACTAGCTGCACTCCCTATTCACTAACACTAACTATTCACTAACACTAGCTGCACTCCCTATTCACTAACACTAGCTGCACTCCCTATTCACTAACACTAACTGCACTCCCTATTCACTAACACTCCCTATTCACTAACACTAGCTGCACTCCCTATTCACTAACACTAACTGTACTCCCTATTCACTAACTGCACTCCCTATTCACTGACACTAACTGCACTCCCTATTCACTAACACTAACTATTCACTAACACTAACTGCACTCCATATTCACTAACACTAACTGCACTCCCTATTCACTAACACTAACTGCACTCCCTATTCACTAACACTCCCTATTCACTAACACTAGCTGCACTCCCTATTCACTAACCCTAACTGTACTCCCTATTCACTAACACTAACTGCACTCCCTATTCACTAACACTAACCACACTACCCATTCACTAACACTAACCGCACTCCATATTCACTAACACTAACTGCACTCCCTATTCACTAACTGCACTCCCTATTCACTAACACTAACTGCACTCTGGGCTCAGCAACGCGTTGGACTCTGGACCCACCTGAGACCCTGCAGAGCCCACCATAGACACCACACATAGTTGAGACCCCACACAGCGCACCTGAGAGTGACCGTGCAGAGCACACCATAGATGCGGCACAGCCCACCCGAGACTCTCTATGATGGGCTCTGCAGGGTCTCAGGTGGGCTGGTCAGGGTCCCTTTCCCTGCACCTCCTCCCCTGTCACCTCTGCCATGCCGCCCCTGGTACGGCCGATACCCATGTAAGTAGCCCAGGCCCCCCAGGCTGTCCAGACCCCTCACATGTGTATCGGCCATACCCCCCCTGATGTCGGCCCTAAGAGCGGTGGAGGATGCATCAATTTTCTTGTGGGGGCAATTGCTCTGTTGCCTTCCCCCCTGGATCCACCACTGGACACACACTCCATTAAGGCCCCATTCACACCAGAGCGGTTCGGCCGCGCTGATCCGCTGACATGAACGATTCCATATAATGCTATGGGGACCATTCATGCGACTGCATGGCTCAGTGCGATCCGAACTGCCCCCCGACCCTTTTTTGCTGCGCTGATTAGTGCGGTTTCCATACAGCTTTCAATGGAACCACGCTAATTAGTGTGGTTTTGGGCATTTTTTATTGCGTTTCAGTGCTGACCACTTGTAAACATTCTATATTCTGTACCAGAAGAAAGATTAAAAAAAACAAAAAAAAACAAACTACCAAAATCTCCCTTTTGAAATCAGTGGTTTGCGGAAACCGCACTGATCCGCAATTGCACTGGTGTGAATGGGGCCTAATACTGATGGGACCTGGGGCTTAGGATCGGGAGACAAAGGGGGGAGAGAGACAACACTACCGAGTTCACAGAGGAAACTTTTCAAGGTTGTCAGACGGCAGGTACAGCCACACTGACTCCACAGTCGCACACAGCGGCACAGCAGAGGGAACCTAGGGGCGGGGTCCATCTCACATGGGGTCGAAGCTCGGAGCCCCATACCGCAGCGGCGGCCACTGACTACTAGGATTTTTCCGCCCTCACCCTTCAGCACCCTCAAACGGCCACTTGACGTGCCTTGCTGTAGCGCCGGGCCTGGTAGCAATAGCCTTTTCCAAGTTTTCCAGGAGGTTTTATACTTAGACTTGACTTTAACTAATTTGAGGACCTGGACAATATTATTATTAAAATCAGGACTATCAGGCATGAAGTAAAAACAAAAATTAAATCAAAATTCCTTACACAAAATGTAGTATATGCTGTTTATTGACAATTATCTTTATATCGTATTCTCTACTTTTCACTATTCTAATCTGAGTTTGTTTGTTTTTGTGCAGCCTGCAAATAAAATCCTCTCTTGCATCTTGGGAAAGTGCAACCTCCAGTTTGCAGGAATGTGCATAACACTTAACATATCTACATCAAGCCTAAATATGATGACGCCGGATTCTAAACAGGTATGACCAAAGCCATGTTCTTTTTGTTATGTATCAGCAGAGGAACACACAAATTAGTTTACAGACAGGGAATTGATATCAGTAGACATAATAAAAAAAATTTTACAAAAAAATTGAAAAATTTATGTGAAGAGCAACATTTTATAAGAATGAGAAATAACAATTCTAGGGGAAATGTGGGATCAATTTTGCCATTTTAGATAAGTAGATTTAGATGCAAGGCTTAAAGCAACTCTTTACACTCTAAAAATCAAGTCACATGTACCTTCACATAGTATAATATCATCCATTCACAAAATGTCTTGTATTCTTTTCTCAGAACACAAGACGTTCTTTAAATGGACAAGGGGAGCGAAGGGGGGGATGAACGCCACTATCATCACTGTACTAGATCCAAAACTAAATTTCAGCACCGGAAGTTCAACACTTATAGTAGAGTCCGGTATCAGTGAAAGAAACATTTTCACCTAACGCAGCAGCATCCACACATGGGACACCCATCATTAGAGACAATTTATTAATTTATTTTTAAAATGAATGGAGCCAAGGACCATAGGAAATAAATACTTGTTTCTTATGCTCTTCAGCTCCAAGAAGGAAAACCCAGATCCTTCTTGGTTATGCACTCCCCCTAGTGTGTATGATGCATGCATATTTTTAGTCCGCAAGTGCATAACTTTACATTTCGTAACATTAAACCTTATTTGCAGCATAGTTGCCCAAGAGACAGAAATTATGATTTTATCTTAATAATAAAAATATGTAAAAGTCTTACTTTTATATGTTCAAAACCATAAAAGCTCATGTTGATTTAATGAATAATGACAGTTGTTTTGCCATAATGGTTATTTAGATAATATTCTAGTGTGCTCTGCTGGTAAGAGTCCCCTGATTTCCTGAATCAAGCTTGCATGCATTGGGTTTTTCCATCTAAAACAAATCAATGAATGAACTAGAAATGCATCTGCAAAAATGCTTCTGTTGGCTGTAGCTGGCAGTGGTTGCCTGAGCAACTGTTAGAAATATATTTGTCATACAAAAGAATACAAGGCAGAAACCCCAAATGGCGATGTCTGCAGTTAATATACACAATGAAAAAATTCACTGATTGAATATTACTGGATTAAAAACAGCATATGAAATAGTGACTAGAAGGATCTTATCATAAGTGACCTCTATGAATTTCAATCTAGAGCCAGTATTGTTGCCTTTACAAGAAGACATTAAGGGTCAAGATGACCATCTTGGTTTCTCTGAAAACAGGAAACCTGGCCTGTTTTATTTTTTAGGTAGAGTTAAAGAGACCAGGTTGCCAAACCAAATGCATGCTTACATTCAAAGGGTTAATACTTACTCTTCCAGCCGACTGCACTGCTGATACCCGATGTCTTCAGGAGCTACACTGGCTGAAAAATCTTCATAATTTGCCACATTTCTTGGTGTCTGGTTTCCCTCTGCACAATGTGGTTCCTTCCTCTAGCCACTAGGTCACTACAAGATAGAGTAATGATGTGGTGGCTGTAAGAAGGGAACCTCAGTGCACCAGGGGACCAGGCATCTGATACTTCTAGATGTGTTGAATGTACAAAACGTTTCAGCACAGGAAGTAAAATCATTGCGGTTCTTTGCAGTTTTCACACCAATTTACTTTGAATGCCTGATTCAATGGGCACAAGTGATACTTTAGAAAATGTTGAACTCTTAATACTTTCCACTTATAATTTATTAATGGATACTGGATAATACATAGTAGCTCTTTTGTTCTGATTCAAAAATGCATATATACAAGAAACTGACAGTCCAATGAAAGTTTTTTCAAAAAAGGTTTTATTAATAATTTTTAATAAATAAACTCCTATAGAGTGTAAAATCATTGTAGTATCATGTTTTAAAGACCTGGTATACACAAATACATTTGTGTGGTATTTGTAGTAATTAGAGCATCAACAGGTGCCATAGCAGTCAAGTCAAGTCAGTAGGTAATAGAATGAATGTTTGTATGTGTAGTACTGTGCCCACCATATCGAGTGTGGTTACCATTTTTAAGTCACTGAAGCTACTGAAGACAGCAGGTATCAGCAGGAGGGATGCTGCATTAACCCTTTTTGTAAATATGCCTTTGGTTTGAGAATAAAAAATAGTAACAGTATATCTTTAAAATCCAACTGTATGTATTTGTGTAAATGACCCCACAGGGAAAATTTACCCATTTTCTGTCCCTGTAACAGGGTGCTAGAAGGACAGAAAATAGTGATAATGATCTAACTAATGGGCAGACAGCAACAGCACCTTTTGTTGGGAAAATCAGAGGCGGTTGGCATATACTGTATGTTAGAATTTAATCTTCCTGCCACAGTGACCCCTCTACCTTCCATTGTTGTTGTCAGTGGTGAACACTACCAAAGGGTCCCTGTGTAAGAACAGTTTTTGGATCTCATTGCACTATTACCCAAGGACAAACATTTATTCACTGTGTGTAGATAGATATACAGTTGTGTGAAAAAGTGCTGGCCCCCTTCCTGATTTTTAATTGTTTTGCATGTTTGTTACACTTTAATGTTTCAGATCATCAAACAAATTTAAATATTAGTCAAAGATAACACAAGCAAACACAACATGCAGTTTTAAAAGGAAGGTTTTTTATTATTAAGGGACAACAAAATCCAAATCCACATGGCCCTGTGTGAAAAAGTGCTTGCCCCCTAAACCTAATAACTAGCTGGGCCACCCTTAGCAGCAAGAACTGCAATCAAACGTTTGCGATAACTTGCAATGAGTCTGTTACAGCGCTGTACAGGAATTTTGGTCCACTCATCTTTGCAGAATTGTTGCAATTCAGCCACATTGGAAGGTTTTTGAGCATGAACCGCCTTTTTAAGGTCATGCCACAGCATCTCAATAGGACTCAGGTCAGGACTTTGACTAGGCCACTCCAAAGTCTTCATTTTGTTTTTCTTCAGCCATTCAGAGGTGGACTTGCTGGTGTGTCTCTAATGGTTCATAATGTACAACTACGTTCACACAGCAAACACCAGCTTCATTTCCAGTCCAGATGGTGTAACAAGGAAATAGGAGACTCATTCTGCATTTCTGAGTGCTGGGAATCAGGCTGGGGTGAAGGAACTGCCACCTGCATGACTCTACCTGGATATTATTGGATTTATGAAGAATGCCTCCTGCTTTCCATCTGCCGTATAACTGAGCCGTATCCATGTCTATGTGACATCAGGAGGGGTTCCATCACCTAGCTCCCAGTGCACCCTTATGTAGCTGCACAAGTGGTTTCTCTGCTTCTTTTTCCACCTGTATATAAAAAAAATCAGTTGTAGCCCACCCCCACTTTATTTATAGTCACCTTCTTACCACAGGGTCAGCTGTAAAAGAAGCCTGGGCTGTAAAAGAAGATCATGTATACTTACCTTTTCGGTAGCCTGTGCCTTTATACACCACCATTTTGCTGCAGGTATTCAACTCTTCTAGGTATGTCAGTTACGTGCTCCCCTGACATGCTGTGGTTCCTTCCTCCACCTTGGATGTCCTGTATTAATGTAGGAACCCGTGGGGGGAAATACAGCGTTTGGCAGGAGGAGGAGGTTTTCACACAGCTGGATGTGTGTAATAACTGCTGCAATATGTAACTACAATGACCCATATTGTAATCTGACCAGTGAGAGATTAATTCTTGTTGGCTGCTACGGGTTATGGCACCTGATAATTGCTATCATGTTGAATAAACCAGATAAGGTCTCTTTAGGAAAATAAAAGATTGGAATCTTCAAAAACTTTTGGTAGTTGCAGGTTTCATGACATCTCTGTTAATCAATCAGTAATTAACACACATGTATTCCTGAGAGGACATCTAAAAACAGTCAACATGTACTTCAAATTAATTGCATTATTTGTTCTTTTAATCCAAATGCAGATCATTGCAAATCATCATATGCAATCCATTTCTTTTGCATCTGGAGGTGACCCAGTAAGTAATGCTTCCTTGGATTTTATTTGGTACCCTGACAAGAAAGAGTTTATTCATTATTTATTTATTCAGTGTTGATATATGTGTCAGAAATATTGATCTATGGAACTGGAATTGTTTAGTGATTTTCCATTGTAAGAATGATCTTTTCTGTTTTCCCTTTTTATAAAAAAAAATTACCAGAAGCTTGAACAATCTGAGCATAAGATAAAAAATATATAAGCAGAGATTACCTTTAGCAAAAGCTAAAGTCATATGTCAGAGTTACAAGTATATCCAAATGTGCAGGGAGCTAAATTACTGAAACATTGTAGTCAAATCCAAAAATGTCATATAGAAGTTGACCTTTGCTTTGTCTGCATCCAATTGCTCACACTCGGACCAGCACGGATGTGCATTTCGGGTGTGCCTATGACAGCGTACGATTGTGTCCTCCCATAGGGAAGAACAGGCTTCTGCGCGCAATCACACGCAGCACCTGTCCCTCCGGGGATTGGCCGTGTATGGAGCTGCATGCCGCATGGACTTGTATGCCCCCTGTGAGCCCCGTGTGAATGAGGCCTAAAATGTAAGCTGCATGCATCTCTGGATCTACTAATTGTTTTGAAAAAATTATTTAATTGAATGTAACCTCTGCTTATGAATTTTGACTTCAAAATGCTCACTTTGAATTGATTTTATTTGTGACAGGTTTACTTTAAGACAACCAAATGATCTGAAGCAATATGCACACTACTTTTCTGTACCTGGAAGAATATTTTGCATGCTATCTGGTCCCATGGCTTCTATTGAATTTTTAATTACACTTTTTTTACATGCTTTTGCCACAAGCAATTGTTATGAATGAAAGGGGAAAGTCATCAGTTTGCAAATATTTGCATGTACATCTTTGTGATTGTCAAATAATGATGGAATCCAGGCAGTAGTGATTCACAGAAGTCTTCACAGACTGTACAAATCTACATGCCTATATTCAGGGTAATCGAAATATTTTCAGGTGGCTGCTTCACTAGATTTGAAAATAAGTGTGCATATTGCTAGTTACTAGAGATGAGGTTTATGTTCACCGCTTTCATGGGCTCGAGGCAAATCCTGCATGTTCAAGATTGGTGATCCCAAATTATTTGTAAACATAATGCACTGCATGGCCTTTGATCTTAGGTCAGCTGGATTACAAGAGCTGATAATGGGGGATTTATTATGTACCAGCTCCCTTACTATAAAGAGTAGGTTCCCAGCAACCATTTATCAGTGTGAGGAAAACACATGACTCTGCACCACAGAGCTCATTGGGATCAGCACCCCAATGAGACAAGTTGGTAACAAAAGGCCTGCACTCCTTCTCCTTGTTATCAATTTCTGCATCTCTCCCTACCTCAACTACCTCAAATTTCTCTTGCTGCATCTGGTCCAACCTCTACCAACAGGAAGGAAGTCTCACAAGTGATTAGGAAACACCACGTCAAGTGGGGAAGATGATCATAGGCCCACACTGAGGCGGGTAAATCGAAGACTTAAATTTCTGGCAAATTCTCCTACATGCACGATGCGATCTGTAGAAGCATTCTTTCCGATGACCAGAAGTAAAAAATGCCCCCAACTCACCCCTATGTCCCAAATCTTAATTGCAGCTTGGCAACACTGCTGGCTTTGTAGCTGCTCCCATTCCAGCTTGTGAAATCAGCTACCATTATTTTCCCACGTATGTGGAATATAATGTGTCTGTGTCTCTGGAACACGCTGTGAGAGGTAGGATATACATGACCATAGACACATGGTACAGTATGCATGGGCAGTGACACTACATATCCTTCACAGTACAATGGGTCAGTCTTGTGGCAGCTAGGAAGGATGCAGGTTTGGGCACACTGCTATAGCTGGTGGTTCTTCACATGTTTTGTCTAATGGTGACAGCGCAGTCACCTGTATTTTCTCCTGCTTATTGGCCTCATCCCCCAACTCCTCAGAACCTGCATGATATCCCTACATCACCCCTAGCACCCCAGAGAATATGCAATATCCCAGGCAAAGCGCTTCCATGCGGTGTGGCAGTTTATATGCCCGGTGCCACACTGGGCAAGAGCTGCTGGCAGCTTTCCAGGCCCAGACTAAGAGGTGTCTGGCCCACCGCCATCTTTAGCCAGGCAAGGTCATGTGTGATAACAGTAACCTTCTGGCTGCCCTTTTCCAGGGAAAAATCACACATGGACCTTGCCTGGCACAGAAGTATCCTGGCTTCCAGGAGATCCTTTGTCAGTCCAGAAGGACTTGTTGCTACTTTAAGCAGTCATACACAGCCAGTGTTTTCCTGGGAGAAATGCATGTCAACATCAGCTGCTTGCCAAGTGCCTCATCTGTGAAATCCCTATGTGCTAGAACTCAGTGTTGACCATGCTGCAGAGAAAGCACCTACAGCAGCCTGCCAATAATACCTGTGCAATTTTGGTACGATGACAGACTCATGGGAGCGGTGGGTGTTGGGTTGCTGGAGGAGGAAAGAAATGGGACGGGCTTCAAGGGGGGCATTTCACCCCTCCCAAACCCCAGGAATTGTACATGAGTGGGCTGAGAGTGTTAAGGACAGTGTTGTCCTCAGCTACACAGGACTCGGGATCCTCTGCTGTAGGCAATTTATGGCGAGTGGAGTCTTTTATACTCAAATGCCTGTGCAAGGACCCCAGGATTTGGGTCATCAAAGAGAGGAACCACTATTTGATGGCCACTCTATTAGATCCTTAATATAAAGTTACAATGGCTGATCTCCTTCCACCATCCCAGAAAGTGCTCAAAATGTGGCACTTTGAGGACGTGCAGCATAAAAATCTCTTTGCTGCATTTCCTGATGGTGGCAGGATCCTTTCTGATGATTAATGTGCCTCTGACCCTTGAAAGGAGGAGCAGACATGGCTGCCTCAGTGCCATTTTTTTAAGTGATAGTGACCAGGCCCAGCTGCAGGCAGAACTCACAGGCAGCGCCAGAACCCAAATGATTGCTGACTACAGGACTGATGCGGACACTGTCAGAGAAGAGGAGCCCATGGACAATTGGGTGTCCAGGCCAGAGCTTCCATGTTTTTGTTACGCAAGATAAAACTGCCTTGTTTCTTTCTATTTGCTGTTTTATCAAGTGCTCTCATACTGTCCTTTAATTAGCCAATTTCTATGAAACACATACCAGAAAAAAACATTTGTTGAAATGAATCAGATTGCGGTGCTGTTGCTGTATTTAAGCCAATTAAATGTAAAAGTTTAAAAAAATGTGATGGTAGAATACGTCATAGCTGATGCTGTCCATGTAAACTGTACTGTTCCATAACACCACATATACCGTAGCTTAAAGGTATCTCCCAAGCATTTTAATTTAAAGATTAATGTTTTTTCCAAATCACCCTTAAAGTCACAATAAAAGGACCCACTGTATGGTATTTTTTGTTGTTTGCTTTATTAAATGTTCCCCAAGGCAGTGCCCAGATCACAATGCCCTTTTTTGACAATAGCTTGCCTATTAGTCTAGCAGATTGACAGAATGTAGTATTAATATTTCCCCCACCATTGAGTTCAATAGGGTTAATAACCAAATTTAGGTTTTGCAGATACCATGCAGGATTTTTTTTTTTCTTTTTTCTTTGAAGCCCGTGGACGTGCATCTAAACAAACTTCCCCCTGTGAACAAAAAAAGTGAACCGTGAAATCACAGCACACAAAAACGTGCACAAGGGTGCAAGGTCCTTCCAAAGAAGGGACCTACTTCCCGACCCCCCGGGGCGCAAGGCTCCTGACAGGGGTTGAGATACTTTGGACCACCAACCCGAAGGCCGATGGTCCATTTCCTTTGGGGACCTGCCGAAACAGGTCCCCCACAGTACTTGGCAAGGGGGCTCTCCCGAAGAGAGACCCCCTTCCTGGGTGGGAGGAGACAGAGAACCCCCTACGAGGCACAGAATCTCCTCCCAGCGTCAGGAATAGGCCCCGAAGAAACCTGCACCTTTCGCATCTGTGGGTCAAATCGAAAATAAAAAAGTGCCAATCGTGCATATAGTGCTTAAATAAATCTAAAGTGCCAGTGCACCACGCTGACAGGCCTTAGGGGCCGGAGTGCAAAAATATTGCCCCGGACTAGCCATAAGGCCTGTCCAAGAGGCGTTGTGCAGAAAAAGCAATATGGTGTGTGACCGAGTGCTACAGTGAGTCATGTGGGGTCCCATACCCAAGTGACTTTCTGAGCACCCCTGGGACGCCACCCCCAGGGGGCACAACACCACGGGCTTCTGCCCCCCCGAACCCTCGAGCCAGACCAAGCTTCGCATCCGTTCAGTCAGAAAGCCATGTACTGAGCGGTTCCCTTCTCACAGGAAGCCGCCCCACACGCTCTTTCACTCCAGCGAGTACTAAGTAACCATCCCCCGCAAGGACGGTTCTTTTCCCCACCGAAAACTGATAAGAACATATACTACACTTGATCTTAGCCAAAAGGCCGAGAAGCAGGATTTGAAGAACCCCACACAAATCAAATATGGACAGATACGCTCATCCTTACTAGATACTACTTTTTCTGACCAAAACATCCTCAATTGTTGGTTCCTATGGGAAGTAAAAACAGGAAACAATGTATATATACGGTATATATTTCATCAGTTTTCATTACTTGGAACCATGAATGAAAACATTGCCACCTTGTGGGCACTACCTATCATTGCATTTAATTGATTTGCTATGTTCAAGTATACTCAAGCAATATTCAAACATCAAATGCATCTCGTCTCCCTTGACACAAGTCTGTTTACATATCGTACTAAATGCATACTTTTATAGTAAGACTTATTTTGTGTTCTCTACTTAGGATGCAACTGACTATGTTGCATACGTAGCAAAAGATCCTGTTAATCGTCGAGGTAAGTCTCATAAACAGTAGTCTTCTACATTTATATATAGTGGACAGGAACTTATCTTTTTATTTCTGTCTTTTACCCCAGCTTGCCATATACTGGAATGCAGTGATGGGCTAGCACAAGATGTTATCAGCACTATAGGCCAAGCTTTTGAACTCCGCTTCAAGCAGTATCTGCAGTGCCCATCTAAGATTCCAGCATTCCCTGACAGGTGAGTAGATTCCTTTTATGATATTGATCTTTTTGTGCAATGCATTTGTAATCATTGTATCAATGGCTGTCTGTGTTAGTCAAACCAGAATCTTACAGTGGTCATATACATTCATCTTTTTGGTTTTTTTTTTCCTTTTAATAATTGAATCACATTTACAGTACTTGCATAGTCATGGTATAACAGTATGCCTTACATCTGCGAAAGTTACAAGCCAGTAAAAGAATATGCATTGAAGTGGATGCATATATTGCCATGGAAAGGGATAATTTGGGAGACGTGTGATAAAGGGCACACATACAGCAGGTGAGGGTTGTAAAATATAATATACATCACAAATTTGCATCATGGTTGAAATTAAATATAATGTTCTTGAGACAGTGCAAGAGATTAGATAACAAGGCATGGGGTACAGTCACAATAATGTATGCATTGGAGTTTTTAAAGTCAATCTGGTTGACCACATCTTCTTGTATTTCAGTGGAGTGTTTGTCAAGGTGTGGATGATTTCATCTATCATCTTTATGTAGTTTACTCTTTGAAACCATAATTTGATCAAGGAAGTGGAAGCAGTTTTCCAGTATAATGGAATTACTGATTTTGCAGCATTCAGTAGATCAGGAATTATGGTCTGTTTACATTGGCCTCCAGTGCAGTGAAATAAATATGTCCATAGGTCATGGGGAAAAGGCAATCCAGTTATGTTGGAGATTTATCTCAACCTGTAAAGTGGATTCATGGGTTGCTCAAAACACCCACACAGGGGCTTTCTCTTGTGTCAGGCTAGGACTGCCTGAACATTATTCATGAACTCCCCATTGTCACTGACCAGTGTGGGAATAAGTTCCCTATTTGGTTGTTTAGAGCAACCAGCTTCTTTAACATGTTTACACAAACCAGTCATGATTAACATTAATTTAAAAGCTGCTACTGCTAAACTGCTTCTGAAAATACAAGTATGAAGATCAGGAAATCAGAGAAGTGAGGGCCAACTAGGCCCAATTAGGGGAAGTGAGGGCCAACACCACAAGCAAGCACATACAATTTTCATATGCATGGAACTTTTGTAGTGTTTATTTTAAGTAGAATAGAAATTGTTCTCAATATATGCCAGAATCTAAACAACACATATGGTTGTTTTAAATAAAATACCAATTGTAGTAGTGTGCAGTGTAAGCAACCAATAACTGATCTGCTTTCTTTAGTCTATGTTAAATTGCTAAAGCCATTACTTGACTGGTTTCTATATTGTTTGTTGCACTAAATCATTTTGTGAAACTATTCTTAAAGGAGAACTATGGTGTTAGGGCTTTTCCCCATAGTTCTCCTAAGGGTAACGGGAGGACACAAACTAGCGTCCTCCTGTCACCCTAGGCTCAGTATACCGCGAGCTACAGCTCGCGGTATACTGAGACGCCGCAGCTGAAACGGATCCCGACAATTATGTCTGGATCCGCCGAGCTGCGTGAGTGACAGCTGGCTCTGCCTATCTAGAGGCAAAGCCAGCTGTACCTGCCCCCTCCCCCGTCCGATCCGCCAGTCAGCGCTGGAGGATCGGAGCGGGGAAGGGGGAATCCAGTCCCTCCCCTGTCACATCTCCCTGCTGTGACAGGATCGAGAAGTGAGCGAACGCCGGTATGTGTTCGCTCACTTCCCGATCTACTGAGCCGACCTGTGACAGTCTCATTGTCACAGGTCGGCTAGAACTATGAGGTGAGTGAAAAGCAAACAACAGAACCTCAATATTACAACAGTATTCCAAACAAATTGCCCCCTCCAGGAGGTATTATTGATGAGAGGTTAAAAGCTCAGCATACAAACCAAGGAGACAATAATCAGGTATAAATTAACATTTTTAAAGTTGGTTTATTTTTGTAGTCCATTGAGATCTCATGTATTTCTTTTAAAATGTATTGGCTTTCCTGTCAATTAAAAAATCAAATACAACATTGCACATGTTATGCTAAACAAGTAGCTTTCAATCAGTGGGACAGCTAGACTGAAACAATTATTTAGATTTCAGTTTTAAACCTATAGTCCAGATCATCCCTGGGTTATTGACTATCTATGTGAATAACTTTGGGAGACCTTACATTGTTGCTTGGAGGCACATGCAGAGTCACCGATGATTTGTAAATGGTCCATGAAGAGGAAGCTTCAGTAAAAAAAAGTAGTTGTATGCAATTGCATCAGCAACACAACTTCTGAAACAGGACTGGTGCACTGCCTGTAAGAGCTAATGAGACATATCAGAGCTCTGTTTCATTTCGCTCAAATAGTGGGCAAAGGTGGTTTGTTAGATTTGGCCATGTAAAGAAACTTTAGAAATCTCACCACTGACTTCTTTACCTCTGGTCTTCATAGCTTTTCAGCAATAGAAATAGCATTTTGGTCTTATGCTCCTTCCTTCCTTGGTTACATTGATTTTCTTGCATGGAGAATATTATTTGCAAGTGATGATTCAGATGTTTGTTACATCCGAACATTCTCAATGTCATTTATTTTTGAACTCCTACACTGCTTGATTCTTGTTAGCAGTACACTAATTGATCCTGTCACAAGTGAACATCTAGGATTATATGGCCATAACTAATTTCATATATCAACTTTTCTTTATCATCCATATAGAGACACAGGAATTTAAAAATTCTATTACAGTTGGGGGTTATACTGGCACCTACAGGAGAGTGGGACATGCATGCCTTTTTTGCTAGTATCCTAGGAGGTTGGACCCTTTTTCTTCAGCTCTGCTGGAAAAAATCTCCTTTTTTTTTTGGTTTGCTAGGCTTGTTTTTTTCTTTATTTTTTTCCTTTATTTATGGACTGAAGCTTTATTTCCGGCTAAAGCACTGGCAACTACCTCACAGTTTGTACCATTGGACACCATTTTAAAATTTCTGTCCCTGCCATCTTAGCACCATAACAGTTAAGACTGTGGAAATTGTTGTCCACTAGGTGGAGTGTGGCACACATGTTTCTTCTCCTTCTCTTATCATTCATACTAGGGCAATCACCATCCCACTGCTGCTCCTGAAGCACCACATAGATCATTCAACCTCCCGTTCTCTGCTATGTTGTACAACATATATTGTAAAATGCACAGAGGACAGTCCTGCTACAAAGGGTGGCCTCAGCCCATAATACTCTCTTACTGGTTCAGGGGTATTTACCCAGTATTTCTAAAAGGAGCTGCCACCTGTAATCTAGAACCTGGGCCCCCTATTATTATAAGGTCACCCTTATTGAAAGCTTCTTCAGCTCTGTTGGGCAAGGCATAGGCCACCCCATGGATACAAAGACCTCTGCTCCCACTTGGGTCTTTTTGTCTGTTTGTACCCAATTTACTAGAGCCTTGCAGAGGCTCTAAGTTTGCTCCTGCGCCATCCTTGGCATATTAAAATTCAGAGTCCTCACAGTCTACCCCTAGAGAAGCTATGCTATAGTCCTCACATTTTTTGGGTCTATCAGTTGGACTGCTTTTGGATTTCTATTAGATGTTCCGACTATAATAGAATTTCTAAATTCACGTGTCCCCCAATGGACTCGAAGAAAAAGAATTTACAGTTTTTACATAAATTCTGGAAAGTTAAAGTAGACCTTTAAACAAATGTTAGCAGTCTTCCTGGGATGGATAAATAAAGAGTAACAAAAGAGCTGAAATTCTTACCTTTCATGGAGAACATACTGCTTCAGGCTCCCTGTAGTTGTGGCCACATGTATTATGGCCAAGGAGCTTGGTCTTGTGATCTCTATGGAAGAGTAGGATAGGATTTCAGAGTGGCTAATGCTTAGCTTCATCTTTCATGAGAGCTCATGTGATCAAGTGCCTAGGCCTTCAGACAGGTGGGCAGCAGGAGTTGTGAAGCTCCAAGGTGGGTGGTGTCAGGAACTATTTGGGGGAGACATATTGCTAGAGATAAGAAGCCATTGGGATGCTTCAGTCTACCAGGCTCTGCCTACAGATTCATTTGATCACTTTAGTTTTTCTTGAGCCTTTAAGTTGTGAAGAAAACAGGTATTTCTGAAGGTTTTAACGTTGTTTCAGTGCTCATGTTTACTGTTTCTGCACTGTATCAATATGATATATATGCACTGGCAGAACTACCAGGGTCGCAGCGGTTGCATTGCGACCGGGCCCTGGCGCTCCGCCACTTGGGGTGGGGGTCAGCGAGGAGGAAGAGGGCCCCCCGAGAGAGTGCCACTCCTTCCCTGCCGCACAGCCGCCCGCGCATGTACTGGCAGCTGTGCGGCAAGCAGGGCCGGTGCTAGGCAAGCAGGGCCGGTACCAGGCAAGGTGCATTTTAGCGCCCCCCCCACTCCCCCCTCCCTGACCCCCTGTAAAAACAGGGCATTTTGACAAGTACTTGTACTTGTCAAAATGCCCCGATGTTTGCGCTATTTTTTTTTCACTTACCTTCGGCGCGGGAGAGCAGCGGCGAGTCAGCGCTGGTCCGGTGGGAGGAGCTCCAGGTGGGGTCCTAATTTAGCTGGCCGGCGACTGCCTGAGGTGCGTGTCGGGATCCTCAGGCAGTCGCCGGCCAGCTAAATTAGGACCCCACCTGGAGCTCCTCCCACCGGACCAGCGCTGACTCGCCGCTGCTCTCCCGCGCCGAAGCTAAGTGAAAAAAAAAACATAGCGCAAACATCAGGGCATTTTGACAAGTAGTGGGATTCTGTAGTGCTGACAGGTTTAAGGTCTCCTCTGAATGGACTGATTTGTGGTCACTGGATATATGTGAATACTTACCAGTCTTAAAAACAAAAATGGTAGCTGCTCAGATCAGTTCACTACCAATCTTCTGGCCATTCCATGGGCCCCACACCCTGGCACACCAGGAGCTATTTCTGACGTATTTGCCTAGTAACTAGTACTAATAGCTGGTATCTAAATCACAGTTATCCCTCTTGCTTTATGGAAACCAGCCTATGTGCTTGGTGTGCTGGGCTGGCTTGTATGAGGAGAGAGGTTTAATATGCAGTATTCAAAACTTAAAAAAAAAAAAAGTAAGTAGAATGATTTTAGATTATTCACTCATGTTTTTTTGATAATAATGTGTTACGTCTGCCTCTTTGTACAAGCTCCCACTCACAGGTCCAGGCAGGGTTGAACAATCAGCTTTTTTGTTAACGATAGACAAGATGAAAACTCACAGGAAGTCTTTTGTGTTTAAATTAGCTTTTGACCTCTTCTGGAATAGAACAGTCGTATTACCAAGGTCGTCATCTGGTTGAAAAACCTAATGAAGCCCTTCAACAAGCTATAAAAAGGCAAGGTAAGAAATATGTGGCTTTAACAAACTTAATTGCTAATGTTTTGTTTCTTTCTGTTATTATGAAGTACTTTTATCTATGGCTGGATCTTATTTTGATTTGAAGAATGCACTGAAAATATTATATTAAAGAACATCAGGCAGAAGAAAACTCAATACTTGCAGTGGGGCTACCCAGGTCCAGATTTACTCTCTCTGCTGCCCCAAGGCCAGGTTCCTCAATGTGCCCCCCTACCTGCCTGCTTCCACTGTACAATTAGCTCCCTTATCACCAGGTACTCGCCGAAATACTCTGTATCAGCACCGATACCAATACTAGTATCAATATCAGTGCATCCCTACTTATAATGAATCTTGCATGGAAGGTACAATGAAATACTTTATTACATTTTAGATGCACTAGTATGATACTTCTGCAACATATTTGGCATAAGTCAGAATCAGTCAATTTTCTAACACAAAAATTTCCCAGCACAAAGACACTAAAAAATCCTAGCACATCTCAATGGCAACTGAAGCCCCCAGTGTGTCCCAACACCAAGTCTAACAAGTGAAGCAAATGACAAACAATGTATAACTAGTTTTAAAAGTAAGGTGCACATGGAAAGGCTTTACATAGTACAAAAACAAATTGTTGTGCTGGGCTTCTGGTGTGTCCCTGTGCCTTTAAGGAGGAATGGGCTACCACCAGGCATAACTGCAACCAATTTGTAAGACAACATAAGCTTTTTTTTTGCAGGCTAGCTGGTGAGTGTGCTGGGAAATGTTTGTGTTTGTACTGTGTAAAGCCCTTCTATGTGCACTGTACTTTAAAAGCTAGTTATAAATTGAGGAGTGAGGTTGCCGTTTTCTTTTGCACAGTTCTTTGGGAGTATGGTTTAACCCATAAATACTCAGCTGTGTTCATTTATAAGCAAGCTCTTACTATGTTCTAAATGTTCTCACTTCGGTGCTACCTGTTAATTGAACTTGCACCCACAACCAATTTATATTTGATGTTGAGTGTTTAAATAAGATTGAACTAGTACATGTTTTTAATTGAAACCTTTAACTTCCTAGACTACTGATATGATACTAATAAAATGCTTTTAATTGTGTTTTAGCTTCTTTAGACATTTACAGCGTTCCAGAAGGAAAGTCATCAGCAAGCAATGCACCCACATATGTGAATACTCAGCACATCAATAAGAAGGCGCTGGGGGCACTTCAAAGGAGCATGGATTCTGCATTCTGTGGATCTGTTGACAGCTGCAGGGACTTCAGCCCAAGAAAAGATCTGTTTGACATGAGTAAGACACTCAAAATGCTTCTGTGTAGATGAAGGGTTGCTGGAGATTAAATATATGTTTCAGTCACAAATGAAAGTTAAAGTGTATGTCAATAAAACATTTTTTTTCTTTTAGGTCAGGGTGGGGAACCTCTGGCCCTCCAGCTGTGGTGAAACTATAAATCCCATGAGCCATTCCAAGATTCTCACAGGCATGACTCCCAGAGACAGATACTTCATGGGATTTGTAGTTTCACCACAGCTGGAGGTTCCCCAACCCTGTTTTAGGTAGAGTGGGGAAGGATTAGAACTACGGTTGGGTTTTTACTGATATCCAATGCTCCGTTAGAGAGATTTTTGTTTCTAGCTTTCTTTCCCAGTAACAATGGACAGACTGGACGTAAGGGAAATCTTCAGGGATTCTAACTCTTTCCCACTCTATCCTAAACTAAGAAAAGAGTTTTAGCTTGACATACTTTTTTCAATAATGAATCTAGATCAAATAGATACACAGCAAAGTATTTCTTTATATTTTTACCCAAGCACTCATCATGTTTCTGAACAGCTGGCTCCAATGCTCCTCTTCCCTTAACTTCTTGTCCAGTACAAAATTACAAGGGATTGAGCAGTCTCGAACAGCTTTCTATCTAGTTGTAGAGGGGAGGAGGAAGGAAAGAGAAGGAGAGCAGGAAGGGAGGGGAGTGTCTTGCCTTGCTGAGCCTTCGTGGTTGTGGAGACACACAGCTTAATTATACACAAGGGTGGCTCCATAGGACCCTGCAAGGTAAAGGAGCCACCCTAAACAGGAAGTCAGGACCAGTGTTCAGGGGACCAGCTGATTCTCTAGGAAACTAAAACTTTTAAACATCAAAGAGCATCTATTGTATATGATTTATTTAGCATTTGAAATGGCTTAAAAACTTTAGACTTTAATATCCCTTTAACTCTTGAAATGCCTGTATGGGCGGGGGACCGGAGGAGGGAGCGCTGCACATCAGGAGGAGATCAGAGCCACCGGCAGATCGCAGATCGCCGGCGGCTCTGTGATCTTGCGTGGGCGAGCAGGTCGGATATTTACCGATCCACTGTGCAGAACAACACTGGAGTGATCAGATCAGCTGATCACTCCAGTGTTTGTAAACAACTAGGGACACATAGTACTATGTGTCCCCAGTTGCTTTACATTACTTCCTGTTCATTCATAATTTTCTCAATGAGTAGTATAGAGGCCTCTACCCATTCATAACTGGATGATAGTAAATGTTTTACTATCACCAGTTATGAATGGGAAGCCTCTGTACTGAGAGCAAACATTTGTTCTTTATTAACTCAATACAGTTTTATCCTTAAGATTTAGTCAGAAAAATATTTTTTTTGTGCACTAATACTAATTTTAGTGTGTTCTTATCAATTTAATTGTGTATGTTTATCAATTTATTATAGATTTGATAAACATTTGCGCAATTATCGCAGGACCTACATAATTAGTAGCACCATCTTTTTATTCTACTGGGCTTGTGCTTTCAGAAAATATATGGTTTGGGGGGTCTTTTACAAACGCTAGCAACGCAGCAGTAGAAAATCAAAACAATGGGGAAAATGGAGTGGCCAGCTGAGGTTAAAAACGGTCCGGAGGGCTTGGAAACGAAAGGGTTAACTGTGCATGTTCCCCTTTATTCAATTTTAAACCTATTTATCTTGACAATGCAAAACAGTTTTGGAATACATTTTTAAGTTCTCCTTTTAAATATTCTACAGAACCATTTGAAGATGCTTTGAAGAATCAACCGATGTTAAATAAAGATGCCTCTGTTGACTGCTCCAGCCCACTGCTATCCAGAGCAGCAATCTTAACCATCAATGAGGAATTGAAATCAGAATCCTGGTATGTGGGAGAAATGTGCAGGAAAGAAGCAGAGAAACTACTTAAAAGAGATGGAGATTTCCTTGTAAGAAAAAGCATCAATAACCCTGGTTCATATGTGCTAACTGGTATGCATAATGGACAAGCCAAGCATCTTCTTCTAGTAGATCCTGAAGGCACTGTAAGTATCCATATATTATTGTAAATGTTGTTTTGTTCCTTGTTCTGTAAATTTAATCTAGACAGGAAAGTTAATTGGTATATGTGTACAGGTACAGGGCAGACTGCTATTATTGTACAATCCTACCTGATTGGGTATAAAAAATAAAACATGTATCTTATTTGTGTATCACTCAGCTGTACATCCTCAGATCATCTCTGAATTGGTGCTGACACTGTCCTTCCTTCTGGAGGGTGGCTAATTTTCTTCCCCATGGTCTCTGTGTGTGTTGTAAAGTAGTGACCGTTCCAAGCTCGCTCCTGTGATAGACTATAACATCAATACAAATTAGTAAACTAATCACGGGAGTGAGCTTGGAGCGATGACTACTTTACAACACACAAAGGGACCATGGGGTACATAAGTAGCCACCCTCTAGAAGGAAGGACAGTGTCAGCACCAATTCATAGTTGATTTGAGGATCAACAGCCGAGTGATACACAAATAAGATACATTTTTGTTAATAGTTAAGATACTTGAATGTATTTTTAAGATTTTACTCCTGAGTTTAGTGTCACTTTAAAAACACTGATAGAACTGAACTAGGGACTAGGGAATTTGAAAACTCCTAAGACAAAAGTACCTGATTCCAGGAGAACAGTGGAAATTCAGGGAAAAGCACTAACAGAAGTCTAAGAAAAATATATCAATCTAAACTTATGGTGAATGGCTCTCACAGGGACAACCAGCATGTGAAAAACAATATTGTGCTTAGCTAATAATCATACACATCTAATAAATTGAAACATATATAAATGAGTCACATATATGAGCCTCCAAACAAATGAGGCATAGAAAATATGTACACACAAACAAAAAAACAATGTAGACGAAAAGAGTCCCAGGAAAAAACAAAAGCAAACAATGGTGATTGTGCAAGAAAATTCCTCAGATAATTCGCAGCCAACCTGCATGTAACTCCCAGGTAAGGATAATCACACAATGCAGGCAGACCTTCACCTCCACCCAGTGAGTGATGACAACAAGTGAGTGTTATAATAATTTTTTCCCCATTATATTGACATGTTCATACCTTGTTTTTGTTTAAATATGTTTTTCTATTTCTTGAAAATGAAGCATTTGCCACTTTATTGAATGGCTGAAAAAGACCCTAAAATGTCTGTGTTTAAGTGGGCCCTAAAATTAGATTTTGTACTTAGGCTGTATAGCCTAAGTTATGCCTCTGGCTGGATTTCAGTGATGTGCCCCTCAGCTGACTTTATTGTGCCACTCGCATGATCATAGACCTTTTAGGCCACGACCTTTGGGCTAGGAACCTTCATACTCTAAATACATATACCAAAGCATGTATAATATGTGTTAGTGACATATAACATGTTGGAAAATTCATTTGTGCTTCTCACATCCTTTTCCTATAGGTCAGAACAAAAGATCGTGTGTTCGATAGCATTGGCCATCTCATCAATCACCACCTGCAGAACTATCTGCCCATTGTGTCTTCTGGAAGTGAACTTTGTCTAAAGCAGCCTGTGGAAGGAAGGCCTTGATACTACTGTCGCTTTGATTATACTGGAGTATCTATTCAGAGGCCACACATGTATCATCAGGAGTCAGTGCAATAGGATCACAGATCTTCTGGGTCAAACCAATGTGCCGCGTGTGTACAAAATGCGGCACTTTTTGAACCATGATTTTTATAAAATTGTCTGATCCCTTAATGTGAAAATATTATGTGTGTATATATACACTGACATATGTATATATAGATATAAATATATTTATATTTTTGGAGATTATGGCAAAAGACTAAGACTGGTATGTTTTAATGCTAATAGAAAACGAATTGTGGTACTTTAACTAGACAATGAAAGTAGCATATTTATTTCAAGGAAACATGTCATGGTGGCTGTTAACTGTAACAACTGAGGCTCCCATCCAGTGCTAGGGATTACCATTGGCCAACTATTAGCAGTGGTTCTAATTGGGTGAGGCAGATCTGTACAGCATCACCTGCACTTATCCTGAAAATAGAGCCTCAAACGTTGTATAGGAGCTTTGGATGTGACAAATAACACCTGTTGTAATAGGTTCCCTTTAAAAAGTACAATGCTGTACTATCTGATCATAGTTTTTTCTAATAAGCACAATATGAGGAGACCAATCAGGCAGAAGTTAGGGTTTATTCAAATACTGTCTAGTGCTGCAAGATCTTAAAAATCTTTGGAGTTCCCTCCAGCATTTGGTAGAATTAGTTGTCTTTATACAGGTGATTGTTTGGAAACAGCATAAGTATGCACTGTTACATAGTCTAGCAATTAATAAAAAATCAGTTTGAATTTTTTATAGGATTTTGAATATAACTTGTCATGAGTTGTGAAGTACAACTCCCAGCATTCTTCGCCAGCGTGGTATGCTGGGAACCATAGTCCTTCAGCTGCCTAAGCTTGCTTTGGAGTAAAGGGTATCTGTATCCCTTTGTACTACAAATGTTAATTTTGCACTGAACAAACTGACTCAGTGCTGTACACTTTTTTCAAAAAGCATTTTATCTTTGGAAAGAAAGAGTATTAAAAATCTTTGCATCTTTTGAGGCATCACTTGAGATGGTCTGATGTTTGGTTTATTGTATTTCAGGTGCACTGCCGTATGTAATTATATATATATATATATATATTATATGATAATATATTTGATGGCATATTTATGTCTCTAATACTAAATGGTTATTTTTATCTACAAATTCTTGTACACATTCCTAAATAGTTTTCTATGTGTGTTCCTACAATGACATGAATGAAAAGCATAGCTATTTTTTCATACTTAATATGCATTAGTATGTAGCATTGGCTGCCTTTCAGTGGTGGCATTATGTACTGTAGAATATAAACCAATTTCTTCCCATATACCATCATTTACATTCTGATGTTCATGCATGCTGCATAAAATGTTGGAAACGGATGAGATTTTGGAGTAATGTTTAAAGGTAATGTCTGTACTTGGAAGTTTTATTTTATTGTCTTCTCGAACACTACTTAAACTGATCAGAAGTGAAATCAAGTATTTTGAAAAGTGTTCTGCTTTTTTAAGCAACTAAATGTCTTTTAAAATACTTTAGAAGAAAATAGAAAGCATTGTCCTTAGACAACAGATGTCACATGTTTTTGTCAATTGTTGGCTTTTTAATCATTATACATGCAGCTCTGAACTACAGAGTAACAATATTTTGTTGAATTGAATATTTGTTTTGACAGTTTGTATTTTCGTAAAATATATGAGGTTCACCATTATTCAGTTGCCCACCATTCACCCACAGTGACAAGGTCCCTACTACTGTGTTATAGGTTGTTCTTCCCATTTTTTGCCCTTACAGCAGACACTTGTAGCAGATAGTGGAAACATTGACTGAAATATATATATATATATATACAAGTAT